AGGAAGACGGCTCGGGCCTGCTCCCTTGCCAGTCTGAGGAGAGAGAGGCCAGGAAGTCGGCTCGGCTGGTAACTGTCTCCTGCAAAACCTGAGATCCCGAGTCAAGCCCCGTGTTCAGCAGGGCATGGCGGGCACACAGGGGCCCCAGTGCTGGGTGACCCTAGAGGTCCAGAGCTTGACCGTCAGCCAGTGTAAGCAGCTGCTGAGTTCCATGTTGAGGGTCTCAAGCTGAGGTGGAGGAGACATCCGACATTGCCCCCTGGCCGATACATCCCCTACAGGGACGCGCACAGCCTCACACACATTAGAGATGACTTAGGGAGTTTAAGGAACAGGCTTGCAGGACAGGACACACTATCAGACTCTGAAATAACCACGGATTCGGATACATTATAGGAGGTCAGAGCTTCTGAGAGGCTGCTCTCCACCACCCCCAGGCTGGACTGTACCCAGGGAAAGAGGAACCCCAAGCCCAGCACCTGAGCTCATAGTCCTGAGCCACCTGCTGCTGCCGTTCCTCGCGTTCAGCCATTTCGACCTTGAACTGAGCCAGCTGGGCAGCCAGCTCCTGCTGGTGCTGTCCGCCGAGTTCCTGTAGCTGCTTCCTGGGAAGGCCCGGGGAGAAAGAGACTTAGACTGTAGACAGGAGACATTGTCGGGGGCTGCAGAGGTAGCTCAGTGCTTAAGAGTGTACTGCCTGCTGCTCTTGCTGGAGGACCTAAGTTCGATTCCTAGCACCCACACTGGGCGGCCAACAACTGCTTGTCACTCCAGCTCACTGTGTCTCCACAAGCCTCTGTACTCACATGCGCGTACCTAAACACAGATACACGTGCACACATGTAATTAGAAATATAAAGCCATTTTTAAAAAGATTTTTATTTATTTATGTGTATCAGTGCTCTATCTGCATGTGCACTTGCGCACCAGAAGAGGGCAGTAGAGAGTAGAGGTGGCTGTGAGCCACCATGTGGTGCTAGGACGTGAACTCAGGACCTCTGGAATGCAGACAGTGCTCTTAACCACTGAGCCATCTCTCCAGCTGATAAAAAGCCATTTTTTTAAACAAAAACATGTGACCAATGAGAAAAAGACAGAATGTGTACAGGTAAAGGAGCCAGATCAACCTAAGGCTCTCCCAGAGGCCCTGAAGAGGACAAGGGACATTAGTTCTGTGTCCTTGTCTGGGAGTGGACTGGGTCTAGGGAGGGAACCAGTGTCTCCTCAGAGAGTCAAGGTCGTTTCCAGGGGCCTGACTCGCCCCCTGGGCTGTGGTCATTAGTGCCTGGGCAGCTGCGTGTGAGGTGCCCCGTCTTCCCTTTGCCAACATGTCTGACTTAGCTCTCTGCCGACCTTGGCTGTCGAGCCCCCACCCCGCCCCCTCCAATAGTACAGAAGATGCTGCACTTCTAAATAAAGTTGCTTGGCACAAGCCATTGGCTTACATGAGACCTGCTGGTCCTCCCACTCAGCGCCTCACTGTCAGGGACCCTTATTTTTGTGGGCTCAGGTCAGGAGACAGACAGCTGCAACCTCCTGGCTCATGCCCAGCACAGGGACGGTAAGAACAAAGCTGAGGCCACACAATGAATTCCCCAGAAAGCAACACATGAGCTGATCAGGTTGGTCTGGTTTGAGACAGAATCTCACTATGCAGCCCAGGCTTATCTCAAACTTGTAATCCTCCTGCCTCAGCCACCCAAACTGAGATTACAGTCCTGTAATCCATGTCCACTTGAAAAAGATCTAATAGAGAGCATTTCCACCAGGCATGATGTCACATGCCTTTAACCCCAGCTCTCAGGAGGCGAGACTGACAGATTTCTGTGAACTCAAGGCCAGTCTGGTCTAAAAAGAAAATGACTAAAAATTCAAACAAACAAACAAACAAAACAGAAGCCCCCCCTCCCCCAAGCATGTGAGGGGTGGGAAGCAGGGCTGGGGTAGGAAGGAGGCTCGTCCCTGGCCGCACTGGGAACACCACACTTCAGCACTGTCCAAAAGAGGAGCCGGGAGCAGCATGCCCTGCCCTGCCCTGCCCTTTAGTGCTGGCCATGCCGTGGGAGTGAGACTTGTAGGCCTCTCCGTAAGCCCTTCATGGCAACTCTCCCAAGAGGGACTAGGGTCTTAACAGATGGGACGAGGAGTCTGCTGGGAGTCAGGCTCAAGAGGGTCCACGCCCCTGAGCACACGGGGAAGCCAATCACACTTGATGCCACCAGGGAAACACTGTCTAGCGAGGCGGGTACCTATGGTGGTCCCTCAGAGAGGCAGCCTGGCGCAGGCTGCTCTCGTGAGCCTCCGCCAGCCGCTCCGTCACCCGCTGCTCCAGCTGCACTGCCAGCTCCGACTCCATCTGGATCCGCTGGCTCTCGTATCTGGCCTGGGAGTGAAGGGAGGTGGGTGACGGTCAGCTCCATTCTGTTTGAGCCTAGTCTTCTAAGCGGTGGGAAATGAAACAAAGTCAACCAAACCCCCTCATCTGCCTCAAGGACGAAGATTAGAGCAAAGAAGTAGCTGTACGGACCCAAGGAGATGCAGAGCAGCCGGCAACGTCGAGTGTGCCCCACCTTCCCGGGCCAGGAGGCATTTGGGCCGCCAGTGGCCTACAACTGCCGGCTCCATTCTCGGCCTCTTGCTCCTTCTGCAGCTCACTGGAATCTGGCTGCTACTTCACTCACGAAGAGGTCGGTTCTAATCCCACAGTGGCTGTTCCTCCATCTGCGTCTCTTCTGATGTCACTGCAACTCCTGATCCCGGGCCCAAACTCCGTCTCAACACGTTTTCCCTCAGCAGGACCTCTTCTTGATTCTCCTCTGAGTGGTGGCTGACTGCTCTGACTCCAGCTGCCCTTTCGTCCTGCCAACCTCCTCCTCTCTACTCTCTGCTGACATCCAGGCTGTTTTTTTTTTTTTTTTTTTTTTTTTTTTTTACTACATTTCTTAATTCCCAGATATTTCATATTATCCCTACCTTTTTCTAAGCTTTAAGCCCATATAGCCAAGCTAGGGATGGTGGCTTATGCTTGAATCCAGCTGCTGACAGTCTGAGGCAGTAGGAGAAGGACAATCCACCTCCATGTATCCAGACCTTGTCTAAAACATAAGTAAGTAAGGGGCTGGAGAGATGGCTCAGCGGTCTTCAAGAGGACCTGAGTTCAATTCCCAGCACCCACATGAGGCTCACAGCTGTGTGTAAAGCCAGTTCCAGGGGATCTGACACCTCACAGAGACATATGCAGGCAAAACACCAATGCACGTAAAATTTTAAATGAAAATAAGTAATAAACAAACAAATAAAACAAAAATCCATGTACCCAGAAACTTCATGGCTGTTTCTGATTACGCCGGAAGAGGCATGCCCACTAGATTTCCTGCCTCGGTGGCTCCTCTCCCTGAGAAAACAGCCAAGCTCTGAGAAGCCGTTCTCGGCTCCTTTACTTGCTCACTCCCTTAGGAGTGGTCCTTTAATTCTACTGAACTTGCTCTCACGCACTGGCCCTGACAAACATCTCACACATAAACAGAGGTCCTCAGTAGACTGAAGCACGGCTTTCTCCAAGCCTCTGCGACGTTCCAGGAATCAGCCAGCTACAGCTCAAAGAGTTCCCCACTGCCTGCTGTTGCAAGACTCTGACCAGGACATGGGCACCCATTTTTCACACCTTTCCACGGTACTCTCTGTGTTACGACAGGAGAGTATTTACAACTGAGAACGCGTTACCCACTGAGTCAAGAATACTGGCTCTCTGGTCCTTTGTGGAAAGTTTGCCAAGCCTGGCTGCAGTAGTGACCAGAGGCTAGGGAATGCGAACTTAAGATTCAATGTACTCTTAAAAACCGTTGCTTTCGCTGCATGCGGGCTTTGCCTGTGGGTAAAATGTGGTCAGTTCTGCCATTAGTTTAGTTCCGACCACCACGGGCCTCTGTTTATGTGTAAGATGTCAGTAAGAGCCGCTCAACGAGCTTCTGAGAGCGGGTGAAGTAGAATTAAAACCATGTTGGCACCTGCTCCACAGAGACCAGAAAGGGGTGTCTGATCCCTGGAACTGGCCTTCCAGGTGGCTGTCAGCGTCAGCCGCCATTGGATGCTGGAAATCAAGCGTGGGTCCCTTGGAAGAGCATCCAGTGCTGCTAGCAGCCAAGCCATCTCTCCAGCCCAGCAAGGTTTCTGTTGCTGCTGCCTTAGTGGCACTAGGGATGGGACACAGGGCCTCACACATGCTGAGCCATGTCCTAGTCTACAAGTTACTTTTGGACACAGGATTTCACTAAGTTGCCTAGGCTCTCCTTGAAGTCACATTCACACTGTAGCCCAGGCTGGGCTACAACTTAAGATCCTCTTGCCTCAGCCTTCCAAGTAGCTGGAATTACAGACTTGTGCCACCAGGCCTGCCTAAAGAGCACTTTTTAACCTAATTGTGTCTGACAATTTTTGGTACTGTTTTGAGTCAGGTCCATGAACTGTTACAGGAACTTCCCACATAAATAAACATCATCCTCCTGGGTCCCCAACTTAGCGGTATTAGCAGAAGTGACTGAAGTGACAGTACTGGAGCTGGCTAGATGGCTAAGCCCCACTCCTCTGCTCTCTGACCTCCATATACGTGTCACGGTACATATTCACCTCCCCCAGGCCCACACTCAGACCACATACAATGACCAATGAAACTTTAAGAGATAAAATAAAGTGACGATAAATACAAAGCAGACTGTTACCAATCAGAGTCAGGTGTGGCGCCAGCTCTCAGCTGCTCGTCAGCGCGGCGGGCGCCATCTCTAAGAACCACAGATGAACCAGTGTTTGCTAACAGTAACAGTGAGCAGCCATGTTGTGGGGAAATAGTGGTGGAGTTTAAGGCAGAGTATCACCAAATTAACCAATGATGAACCCCAAACACCCGAGACGGGCAAGTCTCCACCATTTCCAAGTCACTGTGTGTGCTCAGACCTGTTCTCAAGCACAGAACACTCGGACTCACCTGGACCAGGCTCATCTCCAGCTGCAGTGCATCCCTCTCTCTCCGGACTGTGTCCAGCTCCCCCTCCAGCCGCTGCACCTCAGACTGCAGCAGGGCCAGCTGCTGCTGGGCCTCCCGGGCTGCCTGCGCCTCCCGCTGGCTGTTCCCCTAAAAAGGAAACTCCAGTCTCTGTGCAGGCCTCAGCTCCTAACTGCTGGTTATAGATTCCAGTCACCCTCTGTCCTTCCCTCCTCCTATTCACCCTGTTCCCCCACCTCTATATAATGTCACCTTTGGCCTTATATGTACCTGCTGCTTCCAGCCCCTCACACTGGTCCTCACCTCCCAATCTTGTCTTCCACATAACTCTTTCTTCTCCACCCTTGTTCCCTATTAACCTCCACATTCTGATATCAATTCTTGTTAGTAATTTCCCCCATGTTTCCACTCCCCAACTCTTGCGATTGCTACATCTACCTTCTCTCTTTCCAGCTGAGCCTGGCCTTCTTCCTGCAGCGCCTGGTGGCGCTCCCTCAGCTGGTGCTCCTGCTGGGTCCAGGCCTGCCTTTCTTCGTCTAGAGCAACCTGAAGGGCCTCCAGCTTCCGGCGCTCACAGAGCAGCCCGGCCCTAGCCTCATCCCGCTCTTCCTGGAGGGCCCGGCACTGCTGCTGCTCCACCTCCAGCCTCAGCGTCAGGGCTTGCCTTTCTTCTTCCTAAAGCCCCAGAGAATGCCAGCTGCTTTAGTGTGTGCTCACCAGAGCAGCTACCTGACAGACCCCCCACATGGTGAGTGCTGAGGATTACAGTCACTAACGGTACAGCAGCTGCCTAGCTCAGCTAGAACACGGTAGGAGAACACGCCATCCACTGTTCTACAGGTGGGAATGACACCTGGGCCAGCAAGCCTGGCAGAAGCGAAAGCTTGAAGGTTACAGGTCCTGGGGAGACCGAAGACTGCTGTCTTGCCAAAGGGAAACAATGTCAAATGCTTTCTGAACACACTTGTTTAGGCTGGCACACCCCTATGATCCCAGCACTCGGGGAGACACAGGCAGGTGCATCTCTGTGAGTTCGAGGACAGCCTGGGCTACAAAGAGACAGGACAGCCAGAGCTACAGAAAAACCCTGTCTCAAAAAATAAAAACAAAAACAAAACAAAACTCCCATGTTTAAGGGCTGGAGAGACGGCTTAGTGAGGAAGAGTGTCGCCTGCTCTCCCCGAGGACCCACGTGGTGCCCCACGGGTGTCTTTAACTCTAGTTCCAGGCGATCTGAGCCTTCTCCTGGCCTGTGAGCACCAGCATGCATGTGGTGCACAGACATACATGTAGGCAGAACCACCACACATGTAAAATAAAGATACTCTTTTGTTTGTTTGTTTCTCAGAACAGGGTTTCTCTGTGTAGACCAGGCTGGCCTCAAACTCACAGGACAGCCTGCCTCTGCCTCCCCAAGTGCTGGAATTACAAGCGTGCACCAACATGCCTGGCTCAAACAGATGCACTTTTAAAACTCCTATTTAAACACAGATTTGTGCTGTCCCCAACCCCGGCCAGTGAAGCTTCATTCTACTGTGGCAGCGGCTAACGGGGAAACTTGGACCTGGGTGAGAGTGTGATAAATAAGCTGAGTGAAGGCCTCTAAGCCAACCCTCCCTCCCCAAGCTTGGGAAACGTCATGAAGAGGGACACGGGGGAGGGAGTGAACTGCTGTCCTGTCCCCTGGCGTGTGTGAACTCGGCAGCTCTAGTCACCTGCACAAGACCTGTGCAGCCAAGCCCACAGGACCAGCCAACAACTGGAAAGGAGGTCACCCCAAGAGAAAGGGAGACTTGGGGTGCGCTTATCAAGCAACATGACTTCTGTGTACCAGACTGGTAAAGAATAAATAAAAGATACTCTATTTAAAAAGCAGACACGCCCTGCCCTGCCAGGTGAGGCGCAGCAAGCTTGCCTGTCTTCCAGCCAGACCCCAGCACCCAGCACCCAGCACCTAGTGCCTCGGTCCTGGGCTTGCAGCCGTCAGAACCTGAGAGAAAAATTACATGAACACAGGCTGTGCATGGAGGGGAGCAAGATCTCATGATGCTTTTAAAGGAAATACAAAAGGCCAAGTGAAGATTTACCATTTTGTGGGCTGTGCATGTGTGATATGAACTCCCTGTTTCTTATAAAATCCTCAATATGATTTTTTTTCTTTTTTTTTGCTTTTTTTCATGACAGATCTCACTGTGTAGCCCTGGCTGTTCTGGAACTCACTATGTAGACCAGGCTGCCCTTGACCTCACAGAGACCCATCTGCCTCTACCTCCCAAGTGCTGGAATTAAAGATTGGTAATTTTTTAAATAAAAATAATAAAAAAGAACTCTGTCCCAGAGTTTCAACTCTCAGCTTCACCCTGCTTTTGGCACTTGCTCACTGTGTGTGTTGCTTTGAATCAGGCTGGCTATGGCCCAGGCTGAGCTGAAACCTGATCCTCTGGCCTTAACCTCCCAGATGCCGTGATGGGCGTACAGCACTGCTCCCAGGGAACCCCCTGTTCTCAGGCATACGTCACTGTCTGTAAAACGAGATCAGACACTGCTTACCTTGTGAGGATTAGAGTGAAAGGCCTGTATAAAGCTCTTAGCAGTGCCTGGCACCTAACAAGAACTTAACATACAGCAGCTGTCACCGTCACCATTAAAACCACAGCTCCAGCTCTCAGGAGGAGCTGGTCACGTGGCCCCACCGTCAGCACCGCAGCTGTGATTGTTAAGGGCACTGGCATCAGTCTGCGGGCAGCAAGCATGTGTCATGACAGCAACAGGGTCCCAGCCTGGCTACCAATGCACTGGCAACCACAGGGCTGCTCAGCCCTCAGGATCCACAGGAGCTTCTCCCTCCACTGTCTCAGGCTATGGAACCCAGACCAGCGTTTCCACCTGACTCAACAAGATCCCCCAGGAAGCGTCTGAAACCCACCACGTATCTGTTGAATCAAAACTTCTGTGGTGACAGACTGAGGGTGTAGCTCAGTGGCAGAACTCTTGTCTAGGATGTGTGAAGGTCCCCTGGCTTTCAGAGTAGCGTGTGTGTGTGTGTGTGTGTGTGTGTGTGTGTGTGTGTGTGTGTGTATGCGCGCGCACATATGTACCAGGGATAAGGTCTTGCTATGCAGTGCCGGCTGGCCTCACACTGTTCACAGAGATCCACCTGCCTCTGCCTCCCTCCAGGGTGCTGGGATTAAAGGTCTGACACATCACACCCAGCTCCTCGGCTGGGTTTAATGTTTTAATAAGAATAAAATTTGTCAGGAGGTGGTGGTGCACGCCTTTAACCCCAGCACTTGAGAGGCAGAGGCAGGTGAATCTCTGTGAGTTCAAGGCCAGCCTGGTCTACAAAAAGAGTACAGGATAGCCGATAGCCAGGGCTACACAGAGAAAAACCCTGTCTCAAAAAACCAAAACCAATATACATACATATATTAGTACATATATATATATATCACCTTGCAGTCTGTGGCAGCAGGGCTGTTTTGGTGGAATACCTAACAGATATCAGCAGGGCAGATGCCCCAAGGACACATCTTCGAAGCATGGCCTAGTGCCACTTAAATTAGGAACCCACAGACACCACCTACACAAGAGGAACCACCTCACCCCGCCCACCTTCTCACCAGAGCCTCTCTTTGCCTCTGCTGCAGCCTGGTGCCCTCCTGCTCACGATTCAGGGCTTCCACGGCCTCAGAAAGGCTTTGTTCCAGGCGTGTTACCGTCTTTCAGGAAAAAAAAACACAGAACAGTAAGAATGAGGAAAATGTCCCTGCTTCACAAATAATTAGCAGTGTAAATTTGAAACTGCAGAATTAACTCCACAACGGAGGCCATCAAGAAGAGGGCGCCTGGGGAGGAGAGCCGGAAAGGCTGCGCTGCTGGGAACCTGGCGGCAGGTGCAGTGGTGGTAGGGCCGGGGGGGGGGGGGGGGCGGCCACCACAAGCCAGAGGCAAGTCTTGGGAACCCCACTACCAAAGCTCCTTCTTCCTGTCTAGACATGCATGAGAAAGGCTCTAAGGCCGCATGTGGCAGGTCACCCACCTCCTGCTGCTTGCTTCTGGTGACCTCTGCTGCCTGCCGCTCCTCTTGGAGCCCCCGCAGCACCTCCGTCCGCTCCGCCTCATGCCGATTCCAGCCCTCCACCACTCGGGCCAGGGTCTTGGGAACGGCAAAGAAAATGAAATTCCAAAATCACGTTTTCCCCTTTTCTAGTCATGAGCTGCCCATCTCTCCCCGCTGTTCACGTGGACACCTGGTTAAGCCGGGGTGCTGGCTCAGTGCTATAACCCAGCTCTCGGGAGGCTGAGGCAGGACGGCCATTACAGGCCAGGGAAAACACACCCTGGGACCCTGCCACCCCTCACTCACACCTCCGCAGTGCCCTCCACGGAGAGACCCCGACAGCTGCTACTGTCACCTTGTCCAGCTGCTCAATCATGACATCTTTCTTGCGGTCGGCGGCAACAGCCACAGCTAGCTGCTGCTGCAGCTCCAGCACCCGGGTCTGCAGGCTCTGAATGCTGCGCTCACAGTGCTGGAAAGAAACAGAGGGCGCCGGCGCTGCTCTCGCCCAGTCTGACGCAGCACCGGACACTCCAGCATCCACAGGGACCACGAGACCCACAACCTCCGAACACTTCCCTGTAAGCTCAGGAAACCTGTCGGCTTCCGAGCGCTTCCCTTTGCGCATTTCACATAAACCAGGCTTCAGAGGTGCAGCTGCAGTGCGCACTGTGGAGGGTGGGAAGCTCCTCCCGCTCTAAGGAGCTCACTGAACACGAACTGGAAAGCCTTTCCTTCAAGGCCCAGCAGTTTAAATTCATGGGGAGAGTTCCAAAATTGAGACCCAGTGATCCTGCCTTTTCTTCATTCCTGTTCATCTCTCTGCCCCTCTGGACATCCGGGTGCTCATGGAGGAAAAGAGCATCGTTTCATCAACAGCTCCAGAGCTTTGTGTGAGCCAGTGAAGTTCTTGCCCGTTCAAAAAACACTCATGGGGCGGGGGCTGGGTTAGGTGAAACCTGTGCTAGAGAGGACGCAGAACTGACCTTGGAGGAGCTTCGGGTAAGAGGGGACGAGCAAGATGTCCATCAGTGGATAAGCTGTGGGAGGGGTCAGGGATCTGAGGACCACTCGGGGTGGTGGCACAGACACAGGACAGTGGCTGGGGGCCCAGCCTTCAGGCTTAGCAGTCAGCCCTGCTTTTCCACCCAAGGCCCCTAACCTCTAACTCTGCCACTTCAGAAGAAAGCCTTTGCCTCTCACCTTTCGGCGTGTAAGCTCTGAGTCCAGCGCATCTCTCAGTCCCTGAAAATCTGGGGGGTTGGTGGGGGCGCCTGGCCGAAGGCTGGTGTAGCGGGGAAACAAGTCTTCCAGTGCCTGGGCTGAGCTGGATGGAGACAGGTCTTGCAGAGGCCGGGTGCTGAGCAAGCCAGATAAGACGATGTCAAGGGTGGGAGAACCTCTGAGAGCCCCTGAGCCCAGCCTGGTATCATATATATCAGAAACCACGTAGTGGAGCCAGCAACAGCAGAGGCCTATGCCCTCCTCTGTGAGGTTCCTTCCCCACAGCAGCCCCCTACAGCAAGGTCTAGTAACAGCAGAAACAAGCTTAATCTGCTAAAGAAAGACGGGCTGAGGAAAGAGAGAGCCAACTAGACAGCCACTGCCCAGGTTTCAGAAGGAAGAGAGACGAAGAAAAGATGAAAACCCAATGACCAGCTTCTTAGATCCTTAGGTATGGGTAAGTGGTGATAGGACCTGGGGAGCAGAGCAAAAGCAAGTGGGCCATAAGAACCCCAGGGCTCGGAGAACCCCCACGAAGCACTCACTTGAGCAAGGTAGCTGTGCTGTCACTGTCAAAAGAGTCCTCTTCCCGTCTCTCTGAGCCAGCTCCTCGAATGAGGGGATCCCCTGCTTGCAGCCCAAGAGACCCAAAAGTAAGGATCAAGTAGGAACAGAGGCCATTTGAAGAAAAGAGGCCTTTCCCGTTCTCCATTCCCCAAAGTTTTCCCCAGAGAATGGGTGCTTTTTCTTCTCAAGTGTCACCCGAGTTCCTGCTTCTGGCCTCCAGCCCTTACACCTCAGCTGTCCTCTAGAGCTCTAGGGAAGGGGCTGACTGACTTACGATAGTCACGTGAGGTATGGAGCAAGGTCTGGAGCTGACCCCGAACACTTTCCATCTCAAAGATATGCTTAGAGCCATCCTAGGGGAGGGGAGAAAAGGCCACAGGAGTCAGACTTTCCCTGACTCGTCTATACCCTGCCAGGGCAGAATTTTCAAATATGCCTTAGCAAATTAAGGTCTACTTTAGTCATACCCAACAAGGGAGGTCTTAACCTTGAACCCAAATGTTTACAGAGACCAGAAAGGAGAGGACATGAACAGAGCAGAAGGTATGAAACCAGGCTGGAGGGGACTGCTGTCAACTGACGCGCAAATGCCCGCCTGAAGCTGGTGCGGCTGTGCCCACTGGACTCCATACTCTGAAGACCCGTCTTCTTTCCCACTGGAATAACTTATCTTCTCTAAACACTGGTCTAATGACTCGCATGCCACGTTTTGAACCACACAATCCAAATAACTTGGGGCTGAAAGGGCCTTTGCATATTTTGCTGCTGTCCCTAAGTGCACAGTTATGACCTGGGTCCAAGAACCCCGATCTTTAGGACACCCAGCCTACTCTCCAGTGCAGGTATCTGACCAAACAAAACCATGAAAAACCAAAACAAAAAACCACTAAGAACCATCACAGTTTCCCAAATTCCTGTATATCGCTTCATGGCATTCCCTCAAACACGTCTTCTATAGGAAAGCATGTGTACTTCGGAAATAGCTGAAATCTAATAATAGATCCAAGCCATAGCAAAGCTACCCTGAAAGTCCAAGAGCGTAATACTTTCTAATACCTTCGAGAGCTCCAAGACACAGCGCCCCTCTCACCTTTTTCTTCACGTTGTTCTCCAGTCCAATGGACAAGCTGCGACTCAGCTCTTGAGCCAAGCTGTCTAAGCCCTCATTAGGAGGTGAGGTGGACGCTAAATACAGCTGAGCTCGGGCTGTGGCCTCTGCCTGACGGCTGAGATGCAGGGAAGTATAGAGCTGGGAGGTCACCTCTGAGGACACCTGGTTCAACCCAGGCGGCTCTGACGAATCGCTCAGGAGGTCCTCTGGCCGGAGAGGTGAACTGGGGCTCGTAGGGACCGTAGCCATGTGTGAAGAGACAAGTGGACACAGCAGGAAGCTGGGAATTCCTGGCTCAGCTTTGAGAGGTTCCAAACTTGTGCGTAAGTTCACCAAGAAAAGTGACTTGGAAGGGAAAAAGACACTTTGTTGGATCCTCAGCAAATAAGGGTATCAGGGCTTTCTCGATAGAGGAGTGTCCGCTGGCTTCAGAGGCCATAGATGGGGCAAAGATATCTATCCCCACAGCTCCTGGTAACCGCGAAGAGCGGTTGTGCTATGCAGTCGAGGTAATGGGCAGGAGACCCGCACACAGAGCGACAGAACTAGAGTCCTGGAAACTGCAGGTTGACTTCGGCACGCGCTAGCTCTGGTTAACTCTTTCTCTTTTTTTTCACACTCAACTGTAAGAGACCCAAACCAAGGAGGGCCCCACGTCTGTCCATCAATTAGTTTTAGTGCAGAGAGGCGAGACTGCATTGCCACAACCCCACCCCCAACCTGCTCCTATTTCACCTGTCACACCCAGCGTCAACGTCTTTGGATTTCCCCTCCGACCCTCCCAGGTGAGAAAGCCCCAGCGGAGGTCCGCAGAATGCCCCCCCCCCCCTCCCCCAGAAAGCACAGTCCCGTCCCCCGGGGAGTCTCTGCTGCGACCACCGGATTCCGACCACTCTGAGCACGTCGGCCCCCGGGCTTGCCAAGATGAAGAGGACGGTCCCCCGACCCCACAGCCGCCACAGAGAACCACCAAAGCCCACCCCTCCCGGCGCGGCGCGGCGCGGCGCTCCGCTCCCGAGACCGTTGGCAGCCTCCCGCCCACGGCCGGCAGCCCCACCTCCCATGGGTTACGTCACCCGCCCGCGACACCGCGCTCCCTGCCTCTCCCGGGGCTTCGGAGCCTGGGAGCGCGGGCGCGCACGCGCGCAGCGTCGCTGGCCGCGGATTGGCTGCAGGAGGGAGGCGGAGTCTGGCGGGGGCGGAGTTAGTGCTGCCGCGGTGCCGCTGGAGCCCCAGCTGGGCTTCGGAAACCGGAAGTAGCTTGTCACCGTCTCTCGGAGCAATTCCGGTGAGTCCGGGGCTGGCTTCCCACCTGGCTGAAGAAGCTGCTTCTGCAAAGTCGGGTGCGAGCCTTTGAGCGAGGCTCCTCATCTTGCAGATGACTGTCCACAACCTGTACCTATTTGACCGGAATGGAGTGTGCCTACACTACAGCGAGTGGCACCGCAAGAAGCAAGCGGGGATCCCTAAGGAAGAGGTGACCGGAGGGTCCCCGCGTACCCCCCAAACGCACACAGCCCCAGCCCGGTCCTTGCTCTCCAAACCCTGCTTCCTGCCCCCTGCCGGACTGTCTCCCTCCGTAACAGACACCTAATTCTACCCCCTCTCCCCAGGAGTACAAGCTGATGTACGGGATGCTTTTCTCCATCCGCTCGTTTGTCAGCAAGATGTCCCCGCTAGACATGTACGACCGGGTGAGGGCTGCCGAGGGCACGGCCAGCCAGCTTTGGCAGAGGGGGATATTGTTTTGGAATGGAAGTGGCATGTGGCCCCAGAGAGGGGAGAGGGGTCTTAGAGGCCGAGGCTGGAACAAGAGTCCTGAAGCAGGCAGGAGCGGCTGCAGGTAGGGGTGAAAGTTGGGAGAGTGAAGGCGGCAGCAGCCAGGTTGGGGTGGGAGAGGATGGTAGGTGTCTCTACTGCACGAGGCTGCTACAAACTGCTTATAGGAACAGGAAGGAGTTGGCCTTGAGGGATCACACAGATTTCTCTGGGAGTGACTGCACTCCTGTCTTAACCCCCATTTCCGCAGGAAGGATGGCTTTCTGTCTTTCCAAACCAGCCGTTACAAACTGCACTACTATGAGACGCCCACTGGGATCAAGGTTGTCATGAACACTGACCTGGGCGTGGGCCCCATCCGAGATGTGCTGCACCACATCTACAGTGCGGTCAGTGTCCGCCGGGGACCCTCCTCCCAGGGCCCTGGGGGCCTCTCAGTTTCTGCCCTAATCCTTCTGAATGACATCCCTGGGAACTCAGTTTTCTCCAGAGCCCTTAGCTCCTTAAATGGCAATAATTTCTCCTAAGGGAGAGCTTGTGTGGGTTTTTATGTTGGTTGCATGTATGGCGTAGAGGGTGTGTGTGGGTGTCTGCGGAGGGTTATGGGCAGTTGTGACCTGACCAACATCCTCTGCCAAAGCAAACGGTCTGCCATGTCTCCAGCGGGCCCCCAGCCCCGCCCCCGAGCATTCTTACATCCTTGAGGCCGCACCAGGTTTGAGATTGAAAATGAGAACTGCCGCGAGTCTGGCTCACACGCCCCCCTCTTCACAGCTGTATGTGGAGCTGGTCGTGAAGAACCCCCTGTGCCCGCTGGGACAGACTGTGCAAAGTGAGCTCTTTCGCTCCCGGCTAGACTCCTATGTCCGATCGCTGCCCTTCTTCTCTGCCCGAGCTGGCTGAAACACTTACCTCACCCCTCCCAAGAACCTGTGACTGCCTGGGCCCAGCCTGTCTCCCCTGGGAGCTTCAACCTGAAGGCCTTCAGGCCACAAGAAGGAAGCTCACAGGGGTTCTTGCCAGCTTTACTCCCTGCTTGACTCTGAGAAACACAGAATAAACTTTGTCACCCTCTGCTGCCAGCGTGTGCTTCTGTGTCCCCTCCCAGTGTGGCTCACGCACAGATGAGAACTTGGGTGGCCACACAATTCTCTGCTGCGTTTTAGGATTTTAGCAGCAACCTTTGCTAGGTGTAGTGTAAACGTTCTGCCTTACCTCTAGCCGTGACAACCAGCGTCCGAAAACCTTGTTTTCTGGGACCAAAAAAAAAAAAAAAAAGCCCTCTCGATCGCGCACCACCGACCGGGAAGAAAGCTGACGTGCCTCAAGCACAGAAAGTGAGGACCACGGTCCTAAAACGGGTTGTTCCCAGCGAGGCACGCGGGTGACTTAGGTTCGGGAGCCTTCCGCGGGCGGAGCCTCTGCAGACGAGCGGCGGGGAGGCGGGGAGGCGGGCGGGGCCATGCAGATGAGGGGGCGGGGCCTGCATGCCGATGAGCCGGGCTCGCTGCCGACGCGGCTGGGCGCACAGCGGTCCCGCAGCGGTTCCAGCTCAAGTGGCGCCCGTCTTTCGCCACCCCCTGCGCCTGGGTCTCTGTCCCCGAAGACGGTCCTCGACTTTATCTTCATCCTTACCCGTCTATCCTCCTCCTCCCTGCATCACAGCCCCCGGCACCTGAATACCCACCACTCCCGGCGGCCCCCCTACGGTTTCCCTTTCCCGCCGCAAACCCCGCGACCTCCAGCAGCCCGCCCCCGCGGGCCCGCTCCCGCCGGGCGGCTCTCGCTGCGGCCTCCCGAGCCTTCCCGCTCTCCCGGGGATCGCACTGCTACCACACCGCTGTGTGCCCTCGGACTTCCCGGCCGCCTCTCCCGCTCCCTCGGAGCCCCCTCCCCCGCCCTGGCCGGCCGGCATGCAGGTGTCTATCGCGTGTACTGAGCAGAACCTTCGCAGCCGGAGCAGTGAGGACCGTCTCTGTGGACCCCGGCCGGGGCCTGGGGGCGGTAATGGAGGGCCAGTGGGCGGGGGGCCCGGGAACCCTCCGGGGGGTGGAGGAGCGGGCCCCAAGACGCGAGCTGCACTGGTCCCCAGACCCCCAGCACCCGCTGGGGCCCTTCGAGAGAGCACCGGCCGAGGCACTGGCATGAAATACAGGTACGGGGTGTCCGGGCAGCCTGCCCATTCGCTCCTCTTTCGGGACCCTTGAGGCTTTCCAGGTTGGCCGCCACGACCCCTTCCAACTTAGCTGAAAAGTCCGGTTGCCCCTCTTTAGCTGGCACTCCCTCTCTTCGGCTGTTTGCTTCCCCAACTATGAGATCAAGTTTCCTAAGGTCGACAGAGTCCTGTCAGACCTCAATGACGCCCCTGAGCTGCCTTCCTTGTCCTTAAATAGGCGGGGAACGCCCGGATCTCCAGGCTGCTCCCCCCTTCCAATGGAGTGTCCTTGGGTTGGCGTCCTGGGGAGAGGAGGGAAGGAAACAGCAGCTCACTCTGGCCGGTTGGGGCGCCTGACCCAGATAGTGCCCCCATCAGCCCCGAGGCCGTTCTCCCTAACCTTTCCAGGGTGCGGGCAGGGCAGGAGAGAGGACCGCAGGACCACTTTTCCCGTCCCCGGGCTGGAGAACAGGAGTTGGGCGTGAAGGGCTGTGGAATTTTTACTTTCTGCTGACCAGAAACTCTCAACTCAAAATGGGGGGGTGCACGACGCTCTGCTTGGGAATGAGCTGTGTCCCCTCAAGTATCCAATCTCTCCCCTTAGCAGCGCTGGTTAGGAAGCTGTTTAATCTGTGCCTTGGGAAGAGGAGGAGAGTTTCTAGTTCAGTCTTCAAGTCAGTGAAGAGAGGAAGAGAGAGAGAGAGAGAGAGAGAGAGAGAGAGCGAGAGCGAGCTGGATTTCCCTGTCAAACAAATCCTCCCGATGCCCACATGTGCCTTTGCTGGGGCCTCGTCTGTGTGCCTAGTCAAGTGCCCGGGCTTGAGCTGGTTTACACCTGTCACTGTGCTGGCGTCCTTCAGTGGCATTGTCAAACTCACCGCAGTCAGCCACAGTTTTCAAATCCCACTACCTCACACATCCCGGTCGTGACCCAGACCTAGGCAGGACCTCACCCAGGAGAAAGACACAGATAATAGGAGGGAATGGAGGCGCTGGAAGGCGGCTCTCGGGGACAACGTCTGTTCACTTTTCTTTCAACAATATTCCTAGGACCCTGCTGTGGGGCTAGCACTGTCCTTCCCATCAGCCCATGGGGTCTGGTTTCTTTGGACTGAGACCGTTAAGGGCTTCTCAGATTGGAAGCACAGATGGGGGCTGATATTGAGAGGGGAGGCTTCACCCTTTTCTGCTGCTTCTGTACCCTGCAGGAATCTGGGGAAGTCTGGACTCCGGGTGTCCTGCCTTGGCCTTGGTGAGTCAGAACAGAAACCAGAGAAAGGGGGCGTTGTTTTGTGGCTTGTTTGCCATGGTTCTCTGTTTCGGAATTCTCTCTTGCAGGTACCTGGGTCACGTTTGGCTCACAGATCTCAGATGAGGTATAAGTGATGGGTTCTAGAAACAGGGTAGAAGTGGTTGTGGTGAGGGAATAAGGAGGGAAAGAAGTAGATCTGGTTAGGGTTTGGACAAGCATGATCATGGGGTGGGGGAGGGGAGTGGGAGAGCAGGGCCTGGGGGGATCTGAAGCTAGAGGATGAGCAAAGGAGAGAAAACTGTGGAAGCCAGGGCTGGGTGCTGTGGCTGGGGTGCAAGGGGGTGCCTAAGGGGCAGCTGCTCATCTTCAGCTTTTCCTCACCTCCCTAGACAGCAGAAGATGTCCTCACGGTAGCCTACGAGCATGGTGTAAACCTGTTTGACACTGCTGAAGTGTACGCGGCAGGAAAGTAAGGCTTGGGGTGAAAGAGTAAAGCTGTACTTGGAAGGCAGGTTGAGAGAACATCAGGGATTCTTGTTGTTTCCCTCCTTAAAAAAAAAAAAAAAAAAAAAAAAAAAAAAAACCTGGGAATTCTGGGAACAGTAAAGTCCAACTTTTCAGGCTCATAGGTACCTATGTATTATGGGAGTTGTAGTTCCCACAACACCTTCCTCTCTGGATGAAAGGTCAGTAGACGTGCCATGCAGTCACATTAAAATAAAGCCAAGGAATTTACCCTGAAGGTCACACAGCTTTACTTTCAGACACACCGCGTCACCTCACATGCCTGTGACTTTACGCTGCGAGCAGCCAGTCTAGGTGGCCGCCACTCTGCCTCTTCCTTCCGTAAACATTCTTCCCCAAGCCTTCGCTCAGGCTGCAGAGATGGCGCAGAGGTTGAGGGCGCTAGCAATTCTTCCTAAAGGTCCTGAGTTCAATTCCCAGTCAACCACCTGGTGGCTCACAACCATCTATAGTGAAATCTGGTGCCCTCTTTTGGCCTGCAGGCAGCATACTGTATAAATAACAAAATAAATCAAGACCTGTGAGCAGCCATGACACTCTGTGCTACCTCTGACAGTAGTAAACTTCATTTGCTGCTCAGCTCAGCTGTCCCTCCGTGGAGCTTGCCTCCCTGAGAGCCTCCATGGAGGTTAGCACAAAGCCTGCTCTGCTTTGGGGAGGGGCCAGCACAACCCTCAAGTATAGCCTAGTCTATGGGGTCGTCCCCAGCTTTGTAAAGCGTCCAGTAACTGGGTGCTAATAGCTGTGTGGGCGAGCCATCACGGCTCACACCCGCAGCTCCAGCATTGGAAGGCTGAGGGAGGGTAGAGAATGTGAGGCCAACCTGGGCTACCAACGGAGATCCTGATTCCAGAATGGGGAGGGAGGTCTGGAGGCTGATGAGACTCCTCACACACGGGCATTTGCGGGCGGGGAGGGGGGTCCAGAGCTGGCTGGAGTTCCACAGAGGCAGAGAAGGGAGAGAGCAACCCAGACGACTGAAGCCAGAAAAGCCTGTGCTCTCTCCCTGACCTGTTTCTCTCACCTCATCGTGGTCTCCCCTCAGGCACCCACAGTGGGCTTGGTACATAGCTAATACATGACGTGGTGAATGAATGAAAATTCTATGACTGCATGACTCACCTCAGGAGCCCCTCGACCTTGTCCGGGGTTAAGCTGAGACTCCAAAGGGGCGCTTGGCCCCCTGGTCTTCTCTCTACTTCGAGGGACAAGCTGGGAGGGGGGGAAGGAACTGCTCTGTCTTGGGGATATCAGTGCTCTCACCTTGTCTTTGTTTCAGGGCTGAGAGAACCCTGGGCAACATCCTCAAGAGCAAAGGTTGGAGGTGAGACTGTTGGGGGCGGGGAAGGGGCACTGGCGACGTGGCCAACCAAAGGAGCGCTGTTTTTCTGCCGTTTTTCTGCCGGAAATGTCATTTCACTTTTTTCCAGGAGATCCAGCTATGTTATCACCACCAAGATTTTTTGGGGAGGACAGTAAGTAATGAGGGAGAGGACTCAGGAAGAGGATGTGGTCTGTGGGACAGGGGTTGGGGAGCTGCTGTTCCACAGCGTCATCCCAGTTTCTCTCTGGATAAGCCCTCATCCTTGACGCAGCCTTTTCCTACAGGGCAGAAACTGAGCGAGGCTTGAGCCGCAAACACATCATTGAAGGTGAGAGAGCTGGTGCCTGGGAAGCTGAGGCAGAGGACCGGGACTGTTTCCGAAGATGAAGCTGACCATGACAAGGGGGACGGGGACGGTTGGTCGGACACTTTTATTGGAGGTGACACTTACCCCCCCCCCAGGCTTGCAAGGGTCTCTGGAGCGCCTCCAACTGGAATACGTCGACATCGTCTTTGCCAATCGTTCAGACCCTAACAGTCCTATGGAGGGTAAAACCAGCACCCCAAACTGGGCAGCACTTTCTCAGACTCACGTCAGGAAGCCAGCCTCCCCCGCCCAAATGTCCCCCAATCCCAACAGCAGAGGCTCGGGCCTAGGGCCCGAGCAAAGGAGGTGCAGAATAGCTGTGACTGCACACGTGCCTGGGGTCTTGTTGGGGTGCGCAGCGTCTGGGTGGGACGGATCTACGGTCTAGGACTCCACGGGCCCGACCTCGAGGCTTTTCCTGTCTTGTGCACCTAGAGATTGTGAGAGCTATGACGTATGTCATCAGCCAGGGCCTGGCCCTGTACTGGGGCACATCCAGGTGGAGCGCTGCTGAAATCATGGTAGGTGACCCTGACACACCGCGCCCACCCGTGCCTGGTCCCCCTTCTCGTGACCAGCCCACACCTCACCGCGCTGAGAAGGAAGAAAGCGGAGGGCTGGCTCTCACCCCTGTCTCCTTTCCACACCGACCCAGGAGGCCTACTCCGTGGCCAGGCAGTTCAATCTGATCCCTCCTGTGTGTGAACAGACGGAGAACCACTTCTTTCAGAGGGGGAAGGTGGAAATGCAGCTGCATGAGCTCTACCACAAGATTGGTGCGCACACCTTCCCCCTTCCTGTGCCACCCACGACACTGGCCCCTGCTCCACCCCAAATCCTCTCACTCTTAGGTGTTGGCTCTGTCACTTGGTCTCCCCTGGCGTGCGGCCTCATCACCAGCAAGTACGACGGCCGAGTTCCGGAGACTTGCAAGGCCGCCGTCGTCAAGGTGAGAGCTGGGGTCTCAGGGAGGCCGCTCTGGGCTGTCTAGATGGCTGCAGGGCGCTGGAAGAGGGGCAGGGCCTTCTGCTGATTCTCCTCGGCTTTCAGGGGTACCAGTGGCTCAAGGAAAAAGTGCAGAGCGAGGATGGCAAGAAGCAGCAAGCCAGAGTCATGGACCTTCTCCCCATCGCTCGCCAGCTGGGCTGCACTGTGGCCCAACTCGCTATAGGTGAGGCCCTGCGGGCGCCCTGCTGCCCCCAGAGACTGCCCACGCCTCTCTCTAGACTAGTCTGCACTCCTGGAGGGTCTGATCCTTTTTCCTCTCCCTTTTCCTCCTCTGGTCCCAGCCTGGTGCCTCCGGAGTGAGGGTGTGAGCTCAGTCTTGCTGGGCGTGTCCAATGCCGAGCAGCTGCTGGAGCATCTCGGCTCCCTGCAGGTGAGTTGGAAATTCAGAGTCAGAATTCCCCTCCCCTCTGCTGTCTAACCCCGCGTGGATGGAAGCGACCTCCTTGCAAACTTGTCCCTTTGCAAAGGAGAGCGCAGGGAGCCCGGGCCAAGCTGCCAGGCAGCTGAAACTTTCTCGTTGGGTACCACTGTGGCCTTCCCCACGTCCTTCCTCCGTGACCCGCAAAAACTGCCCTCCCCACTGCCCACCCTCAAGGTGCTGAGTCAGCTGACGCCGCAGACAGTGATGGAAATCGACGCGCTCTTGGGGAACAAACCGCATTCTAAGAAATAGTCCGTCGGGGGGCGAGGGGACCCTAGCGGAGTGATTGCGCCCAAGCCGACCCTGCTCCATCGGGGAGCCCCGCCCGCCAACGAGTCCCGGCCTCGAGTAGCGATTCGCATGAACAAAGCCATATCCTTTCGCCATGGGCTTGAGCGTGAACGTAGATCTCCCACCCGCGCCCCGCTCCGCTGTGTCCTAGGGCTAGGCCTTCCCGCTAATCCCGGGTTCGAGCGGCTCCTCCCAGTCCTTCGGGCTCGCTCCGCTTTTCCCTTTTGCCCAAGCTCAGAAAACATCCGGGCGGATAAAAGCAGCTTTGAGAGCGCCTCAGACATGGGCCCGGAGACGTCTTCAAGGGGGCAGGAGTCTACACTGGACACGGGTCGTTCCGTAGCAGCCAGGCTGGTCCTGGCAGAACGTAAATTAGAACCTCTGGGAAACCAAAATCTTGCCTCCTGCCCAGAGGCGGGGACTTAACTCTAGAACTAGGCTCCCAGCTTGTGCTGGCAGGGAGGGGTTGAGGGTGGAGAAGGCCATGTTGACAAAGGCGGCAGAAATGGCAAGGTGGCCTTGGAAAACAGTGCTTTGGAGAGTTTAGGGAAGGCCTGTGGGCCACCGGGTTGTGAAAGGTCTGGGGACAGACCGGGGCTTGAACTGGAGTTAGTGTGCAGCAGCCAAGGACTCGAGTCTTCTTCCTGGCGATAAACCTAAAGCAATAACGGTGGCCTTCTGCTGTAAGACTTCCCAGGGAACTGTAAATAAAATCTCAGCTTGGTCCTCACGGTGTCTGGAACAGATGTGTACCCGTATCGCACATGCCTACAGAAAAGGGTGTCAGGTCCCCTGGCACGTGCGTTATGGATGACTGTGAAGTACCGTGTAGATGCCCCTGGGTCCTTTGCAAAGCAGTGCAGAGCCACACACTGTGCGCGCGCACACACACACACACACACTCTCTCTCTCTCTCTCACACACACACACACTCTCTCTCTCTCTCTCACACACACACACTCTCTCTCTCTCTCACACACACACACACTCTCTCTCACACACACACACACTCTCTCTCTCACACACACACACTCTCTCTCTCTCACACACACACACTCACTGTTTTCAGTTTCATCTGCCAGGCTTCGTGGCTTGTAGGTCTCCTTTTCCTCTTGTCCTGTACCTACAGGTGTCCAGAAATGAAGCCGCTTTGCGGCTGGATGGGAACCGTCACTGGGGTGTGGTTTTGTGATGTGAAAGCGCCCCGCTCTTTGGAGGGGTACAAAGAGAGGAAGGCGGCAGACAGAGTCCAGCGGGCTCTTCAGGTCCTGCCGCTGTTCTCCTTTGTGGACCCGGATTTCTTGGAGGAAAGGCAGTGGGGGAAGGTACAGCCTGCAGAGATCGCCAGGAGGAGGAGGATAGCTCTGCCACCCTTAAATATAACCTCAGCGCCTCCCTTCCACTCTCATCCTGCCTCGTCTGAAAGCTCAGAGTACAGAGTGAAACTGATTTCCAAAAGCCGGAGCAGCCTGCCGCCAGCAACTGGATTAGCAACCTCAGGATCAACTAATGAGCACTTCCATCCAGCCCTCTAACTCCCACTCATCCTGGAAGCCCGTGGAGGAGTCAGAGAAGCCAGATACATGACTAAGCTATGAGTAATTCATCTGTGACAAACATACAAGAATTTATCAATTCAAAATAGTATTTCCTTGAAATAGTTCTCCTGAACAGCAATGCGCTCTAATGCTGCCTGCCCCCGAGCACAGCACCCTTGAAAGCCTCCTCTTAGAATTACCTCCAGAGGTAGAAGTCCCTTGTAAACAAAACCTTCCTTCATCGCCACATCCCCCTATGTAGACATTTGCCATTATTTCTCGCCCACTGTATCCATAAATTCAGTGAATGTTTGTGTATCGAGTCGTTCTACGAGGCCGCATCAGGCATGAAGCGACCAGTTTGCTGCTGGGGGAGATAACCACACGGTCTCTGTTCTCGAACAAACTTCTGCTGCCCAGTCTGTGGGGAAGCACACAGTGTTCACGTGTGAGCCCATGTCAGTGAGCCCCTGACGAGGCGAGGCTGCCTGAGAGCTGGTGCGGCAGGCATCAAAGGCAAGGGCGTGAGGGCTGTGATGGGTGCAAAGGCTGGGCAGAAGGAAACACAAGCAGCGGTCAGACAGCTCTGTGTGGCTGAGATGAAACAGCAGAGGTAAACAAGGAAAGGCTGATTCCGGCTCAGGGGCTTAGAGGGTCAGCACAAGGCTGCGTGGCCCACTGGCCTTTGAGCCTGTGGCAGGCCAGCATGGCGGAATAAATTGCTTGCTTTAAAGCAGCTGGAAGCAGAGAGGAAGGGATGGATGGAGCTCTTGTTGTCCCTCTCAGGAACCCACCCCCAGAAGCCTAAATTCTAACAGTTCCGCTGCGTCTCCAAGGTACCATCACCTGGAACCAAACCTTCAACACTTGGCTTTGGAGGACATTTAACACCCAAACCCCAAAGTCTGCAAAGCCAGGGTGTCCACAGCGCAAACAGAGGTAAAATGTGAGATGCTGAGGTCAGAGCACATGGGCCTTCCCGGCCCTTCAGAATATTACTTTAGTCCTAAAGGGAACAGGGAGGTATCTGTTTTGTTCTCTGTTGATATGTACACAAACCATCCCAAAATCTAGTGACACAACTTTTAAAAATGAAATGGAGGTGAGGTGGGAGGAGGGCTGAAGAGACGAGTAAGCGGTAAAGGTGCATACTGCCCTCCTGAGGCTCCTCAGGTGCCCCACACCCCACAACTCCAGCCCTGGGGCAGCATCTGACACCCTCTTTTTGACTCAACAGGCACCTGCGCACCTGTTGTACAGACAGACATAATTAAAAATAATTTAAAAACAAATGCACAAGTTACACATTTTTAAGGAAAACGTTCTGTGGGTTGGCTGGAGACCCTCTGCTGTGTCTCTTGGCCTCCTTCATGTGTGTCATGTGTAGGTTAGCTGAGCAGGAACACCCCAGATGCCTTCACTAGCACGTCAGGCAGTCAGCACTAGCCACCGACGGACGTACCTCCATCTTCCTCTGGGGCCTCACTCCCAGTGCTCAGGTGTGACCTACCTCTCCACCGTTGTCTCAGAGCCACCATCACAGAACCCAAGGGCAGAAGACCTCGACAAAAGGGCAGCGCTGTGGAGGGCTGGCCTCCAGAACACACACCGTTTCTGCCTCATGCTGTCACTGGTCAAGGCTGGTCACAAAGCCGTCCCCCACTGCAGAGACAGGGACGTGGATTCTTTCGGTTTGGAGACAGCCTCACTGTATTAGTCCAGGTTGTCCTCAAACTCAGAAGCACTGTCTCGGCCTCGTGAGTGCTGGGGTTAGTCTGTGCCACCCTGACTGGAGGCGGCATAGGCTCTGGGTGCCATTCAACACTTGCTACCTTAAGAGATTTTGGACAGCAGTAGGAGCAGTAGCAGAACATGCCTGAGATTCGGAGCTCCCTGTAACTAACGGGGGAAAGCTGATAGAATCAACTGGACGGGGAGGCCAGAGACAGCCTGGACCAGAAGGGAGAGCAGGAGGTGGAGACAAGTAGGCTGATTGGCTATTTAAGGGACAGAAAGGCCCTGGGCTGGTCAATAAAGAAAGGTACGGTGAAGGAGAGCCTCAGGGTATCACCCGGGGTTACAGAGGTAGCCAAGGAAGGGGGGAAAGTGGGAGAAACTCTGGCTTGGAAAAGGGAGATCATCAGTTTGAGTTCTTGGCTATAACAGCTGGAACATGGACATGATAATGTAGCTCAGGAGCTTAGAGGCCCCTTGGCTGTGAAACACTTCGGGATCATTTATTCCACCGTCAGTGATTACAGCTTGAGCTGGGGAGATGGCTCCCTGGGAGAGGTCCATGCGTGTAAGTGGAGAACGGAAGTTTGAAGCCACAGACCTCACATAGGCCGGGTGTAATGACGAGTGTGTCTAATCACAGTTCTGCAGCAAGTGGGAGGTGGATACAGGGCAGTCCTCAGCCCCAGAGCATGTGGACCAGCTGTCCCGGCACACAGGTCTGCGAACCTCCGTCCCAGCCATGCTGGTGAACGCTTCCAACCCCCGCACTCTGAGGTCGAGGCAGGCGGATGGATGGCTGTGAGTCAGGCCAGCCTGGTCTACATAGTCCCAGGCCAGCCACAGTGAGACTCTACCTCAAAACCAAATGAGTGCTCACTCCAACAACAGGAAAAGCCAAACAAGGTGAAAGCGAGGGCACCTGAGGTTACCCTCTGAGCTTCCCACGTACCACAGCAAAAACCACACACAGGAATCCACATGCATGGACACACATAGAAGCACAAAGATTGACCATCAGTTGAAGACTGTTTCATGTGTGTGAGCCTCAGGCAATTGTGAGCTGCCCGACGAGGGTGCTGGGAACTGAACTCAGGTCCTCTGGAGGAGCAGCAGGTATGCTTAAGCACCACCTCACCACCCCTGAAGAGAGTTTAAACCGTGAGGCACACCTTCCTAAAGACAAATTCTACAGAAGGTTTTGTTAGCGCTAGTTTTTAACTATTTTATCCGAGTTTCTTATACCGCTCCCTCTTATCCACCCCAGTCCCTTCCAGCACCCCAATATGAGGTAGGAGAGAAAGAAGATTAGTGGGGACAGGGGCCAGAGTTATCTTAGGCTTCTTCCTGCTGGTTAGGGTCTTGGTTCCTTAGTCCAATCTTCCTTTCGGGAGATCGCCAACTTCTTCTGGTCAAACTGCATCAGCAGCAACCAGGAGCAGCGGAGGAAGGACCAGCAGCCTTCATCTTTCTTCTCTGAGCCCTCTGTCTCTCTTTCTGGGCTCTGGCATTTATTCCCTCTCTGAGCCCACATAGGCAAATAATTTGCTGCTGTGACCATCTGAATCAGTCCCACGTCCCACACTTGGGATTAAAACAAAACCATGTTTACATATCATTAACCCAAAGGTCCACAAGGCTTGAATTATGACAGTGTCACCGGAGTAAGGGAACAGGTTCAGCTCCTAAATTCTGAATGTCTGCTTGAAAAGGATGGTAACCCAAGCAGGGCATCATGGCACACACCTGTGATCCTGGCACCTGGGGGCAGACGCCCAAGGTCATTCCCTGCTGCGTGCGGAGTTCCAGGGCAGCACGAGTTACGGCAGGACCACAGTCTGTACTGTTCTGGACCCAGTTTTGTCACCAGCTGCCATACTGGGCAGCTCATAACCACCTGCACCTCAGCTTCAGGAGCTCTGACGCGCTCTTCTGGACTCCAGGGCCACCCTGCACTCTTGCGCACACCCACACACAGACCACACACACACATGGTTTAAAACCAAGTCTTAGCTAGACCTCCCGAAAGATTACTTCCAGAAGCCACAATCCCAGTGCTCTGGAAGCTGAGGCAGGAGGACTATCGTGAGTCTGAGACCAGCCTGGGCTACAGAGTGAGCTCCAAATTAGATGGGGCCAAAGAGGACCCTTGTTAGGCATGGTAACAAACACCTTTAATCTCAGCACCCGGAAGGCAGAGGCAGGAGGATCTCTTGTGAGTTCAAAGCCACCCAAAGCTGCACACAGAGTTCCAGACCAGCCCAAGACCCTGTCCCAAAAGCAAAACAGAACAAGGAGTACCCTCTACGTTTTAACAACTGTAACATTAAAAACCAGCTGTCTTCCCTGTGGTGAGCCAGTGAACACTAACCGTGCAGAGAAACCTACCCTGTATTAACCAAGAG